AGTTGAGTGAGAGGCGGGTCGGCGCGTCGAGCAGCGCGACTGGGTCGCGCGACGCGCGCCGCGACGGCGAGAGTGCGACGGGGCGGCGCGCGAACCCCCTGGGCTCTGGGGGCCGCCGGGAACCCGCCCCGGGCGTCAGACCGACCGCTTCGCTGGCCGCGCGGGGGTGCGACAATCCGGGGCGCGGCTCATCCCCCGCCGCCCCTCCCTTCCCGGCCTGTTGGTCGCCTAGAAGGCGCGGGGCGACTGCGCCTCTGCAGGTGGGCGACCTTTAGGTTTCAGTTCCGGGGGCCTAAGACTGCGTCGGGGGCTCGCGCGGGGTTGGCGGGCCACTGCTGGCGCCCAAACCACCCGATGGGCTGGCTGGGCAGCGCGGCCGCGCGCCCCGGACCTCGACGCAACGCTTGTCGCTGGGCCGGCCGAGCGAGGCCAGCGCCGAAGCAGCCCGCCCACCCGCCGCGGGCGAGGATGAGGCGGCCAAAGAACGCTCGCAGCTCGCGCCGAGGCCGCCCAGCCACCCGCCGCCAGGCGCGGTTGGCACGGCCAGTAGTGCCAACCCAAATGTAGGTGACAAGACCAGTGTGAAGGCACCGCGGCTTCGCAGCCTCGGCATCGCCTACCTAGGCGAAGGTCTCCGACTGAAGCCAGCCGTGCGGAGCCACTTCGCGCAGCGCCGCGCGGCCGCCGGCCATTCGGTTGACCCTGGCCGACGGATTCGCTGCGTTGCGGGCACCGCGACGCTGAATCAGAGTGCTGCCAGACTTGGCCATGAACTGCGTGGGGCCCAAGAACAGTTGGGACTCCGTTTTGACAGGCCCCGACCAGCACAGACCGCCTAGATCGGCCTTCATCAGGCCCGATCGCCGCGTCGTGGCCTATCCCCAGGCAAGCCCCAGAGGCGTTTCGATGCTCGCCGATAGCGCGCCAGTGCTTACCTTTCTTTCCTTTTTTTCAGAGTGCGCTGCGCGAGCTGTTCGCAGCTTTTCCGTAGTCCCAGCGCTTGGACCGCCGCGGGAGATGCCCCCAGTGTGCAGCCGGCGCCGCTTTGTCCGCGGTCGTGCAGAGGGGGGCGAGTCTCGGCGTTTAAGCACACCCCGTTTTTTGCTTTCCGGTCCGGGTCCCCGCAGACCGTGTCAGAGGGGAGGGCAGTATCCCCACCCTTGCTTCTCACAGGTGGCATTTTCCGCCACAAGCGGTGGGCGCGGCGGAAGCGAGTACCCCGCGCGCCCAGAAGGATATTCCGCCCGAGCTGGTGCGATCTCTCTCTCTGTCTCTCTCTCTCTCTCTCTCTTTCTCTTCTTTCTCTCGTCTTCGCCAGAGGTCCTGCGGATCCTTCCAGAGGTCCAAGAAGAACAGGAAACGCCTCCCCCCGTCCCCCCCCCACTCCCGCTGTAGCGCCGGTGTGGGGTCGGCGGCGACGAATGGGGCAGGGGCGGGAGCGGCTCTCGCTCCACAGAGCGGGGTGCGTGCCTCGCCCGTTCCAGGCCATCTTCCTTCCTCTCCAGCTATTCGAAAGGAATGCTGGCTTTATTTCTCGCTTGAGACTTCTTCGCCTCCCGCCCAAAAAGCAGATGAATGTGCAACCGCTATCTGGATAGAGGGCGTTTTCTTTTCACGCGTCCCCTCCCGCGTAGGACCCCCTTTTGTTTTTTGAGCAGCATCCAAGGCTACAAGCTGGGCAAGAGGAGGGTGGCGTTTTCCCGTCACTGATGAATTCTTTGGGACTTGTTTGATCCTGCCTTCTTGTGTGTTTCAGAGGGCTGGGCGGATGGACATTGGATGCTTTTGAATTCGGAGCCTTGCGGGCCCACGGGGGTTGTCATGTATCGAGGGGGCGTTTCCCGCATTGAGCAGGACACTTTGCGAGGATGCTCGAGGAGGGGGCTTGCAACGGCAGGGTGTGGTGCGGTCTCGTTGGTGCATGTTGGGTTTGCCTCCACCTCCTGCTCGTGCTCCTGCTCCTCTTCCTCCTTCCAGTGCAGGGGGGAGCTTTTGGCCACTGGGAGCGGCTTGGGGGTGGGGTGACAGGCGAGGAGTTAGGATCGTAGATCTTTATTTTCTAGTTTGTCAGTGAATTGCTTCGTCTGTTTGTGTTGTTCGTGTTTTTGTTATGATTTCGTTGTTGTGTTTGTGGCTGCTGTTAGTTCTATTCTCAATATCCTGCGCTGAGGGTCTTGTTGTTAATGTGACGCCTCCTCCTTCGCACTCAGTCACTCGCCTCACTCCTCCGTTCTCCTCCTCTTCCTCCCTTCCTCCTTCTCCTCCTCCTCGTCGCTCATTCCAGCCTTTCTCGCACATTCATGTCCACCCATACTCACCCACTGCTTTCAGTCTCGCTCGCATTAAGACTCGCTCATACTCAGATTCAGTCGCATTCAGATCGCTCCTACTAAGACCCCGTTGCGTTGTCATTGCGCTCAGACTTACTCATGCTCAGACCCAGTCGAACTAAGACTCACTCGTACTCAGACTCACTCGTATTCATTTTCACTTACAGTCAGATTCACGCACACTCGGATATAGCAGGCGCTGCATTTGGGCACCCCAGGGAGGAGCCGCCAGGGGGCCGGGACGCTCCATTCTTCGCGCCCAGTCTGTGGGGATGTCTCGGGCGATTGGCTTGTTTCGGCTCCCCAGGCTTCTCTCTTTCGGTGGTCCAGTGCGCGACGCGATATAGCAGGCGTGATCGCTTGGTATCCTGCAGGGGAGCCCCAGGGGTGGGGACCCTCCATTCTTCGCGTCCGAAGAGTGGGGATGTCTCAAACGTTTTGTCTTTCCCCCCCAGGCTTCTCTCGCTTGGTGGTCCAATGTTCACCGCGCAGGCGTGGCACTCGGGCTCCCCAGCAAGGAGCTGCCAGGGGTGGGGACACATCCGTTTTCTGCGCCCAGACTGTAGGGATGTCTCAGGCGGTTTGCATGTTTTGCCTCCCCTCCTGTCAGAGCAGGTTCAAGGCATGTCTCGAGAGAGAGGCGTTGGTTTCAGGCGATCGCAAACATGGTTCAAGGGGGCGTGGATTAGCGACGGGTCCCGTCTCCCAGGAAATCGCGGATTTCCGCCGCCGAGCGAGGCGGCGCCGGCCGCAGTGTGGGAAGGGCACTTCTCCCGATCCATGGATTTGGCGACTGCGCGCCAAATCCATGGATCGCTAATCCATATTTGCGCGCCCCCGAAATGTTGCCTCCCTCGGGATCGAGGCGACGGCCCCTGGAGCCCGAAGGAGGCAACATCTGGTCACCGTGGTGGGTGCGTAGTATGAAAGCGAGCCCGTCCCTCGACAGGGGGGAAAGTCCCAAATAGTAATGTTTGCGCGCCCCCGATGGCTTCTCAGGAGGGGACACACACACACAGACACACTGAATCGTCGATTCCCAGGAAAATATGGGAACATATGGGAAGTGGGGGGGGAAGACAAACACGTAGAACATCTGAGAAAATATGGCGAATCCTGTTATTTGTGCCTATTTATTTGTGTGTCCCAGGGCCCCTTCAGTTTCAGCGCCCCAAGGGAGAGCCACCACGCGACGTCTCCTTCGCCCGTTCGCGGCCGGGTCGTGGGAGGATGCCTCGGGCGGTCTGCCTCTTGCGAGGATGGCTCGGGCGAGGCGCTGGCCTCAACACCCCAATGGGTTCTAGCCACTTGGATCCGAGGAGGAAAGGTTCAGGAGGGGAAAAAACACAGACACAATTAAACGTCGATTTCCCGAAAAGTATGGGAAAATATGGGAAGTGGGGGGGAAGACGAAAATCAAAAAAATACGGGAAACTATGGGGAATCCTGTTATTTGTGTGGATTTATTTGTGTGTCCCAGGGCCCCTTCATTCTAGCCACTTCGATCAAAGGAGGAAAAGGTACCCATACCTCTGCCCTTCGCGCCCGTTTTCCCCTTTTTGGGCCTCCTGGGAGGCCCTCGCCGCCACCGCTGGATTCGCCTCGAAATTCTGGTCAGAACGCGCCCCAGGAGAGGTCCGGGGAGTAGCGGTATCAGTGCTTTTGGTCTCCCCCTTCGAGTCTCGCATCCAGACGCTCGGAGCCAGACGCACAGCGAGACGTGCCAGGAGCATGGGATGCACGTGCGGGGATCTCCGCGTCGAGGCACGCTGGCGTGGCCTCGGGGGGTCGGGGGGAGGCGCAGGGAGCGATGGGTGGACAGAACGGGCACGGGCGGTGGGCATGTGCCCCTGTGGGGGCGGGGGCAGACACGACAGGAGTCGGGGGAGAGTGGGAGGAACGGAGAGGCCGATGGAGGGCAGGAGGGGGAGGTCTCCGGAGGCCGCCCGAGGTCCCCGCAGGCCGTGGAGGTCCCCCGGAGGACTCTGGAGGCGCAGAAAGAGCCAGAGTCCAGGGGGCCACATGCGAGCCCTACCCTATACCGCCCAAGATTTCGGAGGGGGAGGGTGGGGTTCACTTCGCTCTGGAGCTCCCGAGCGAGGTGAACCCCACCCTCCCCTTCCGAAATCGTGGGGGGTATAGGGTAGGGTTCGCATGTGGTCCCCTAGAGTCGTTCAAAGACCCAGGTGCGCCTACCTGAGGTTGTGAAAGTCGATTAATGGAGAGGAAGCATGCTGCCAAACATTTTCCAGATGTCTCGAAGATGTTTCAAACATGCTTTACATGTGAAATCACGTTTGAAGCATGTCTCAAAACATGCTTTACACATTTTGAACACATCTTTAATTCAGTGATGCGGTAGAGGGAAGCAAGTAGTGAACACCCCCCCTGCCCCCCAAACTCAAAGTTGGCACGCGCGGGGGAGACTGCGGCCGAGGTGCAGCTCATCAGAGCCACCGCCAACCTTGAACATTGGGGGGAGGGGGAGGGAGGCGTTCACAGATGAATGTGGCATGAGTGCTCGCTGTTTTTTCCCCGAGGCCTGCAGGATTGTCAGAGTGTCCATTGCCATGGCATCCGCAGACCTGCGGGGGGCGCAGGGCGCCGGGAGCGGACGGCACGGCGGGCCTGCCCGGGACCGGGGGGCCCCGGCCCGCGAGCGGGGCCCAGGCGACGAGCACGACCAGCGCGTGTACCTCAACAGGTACACCGGCGAGCACACGTGGCGGCACCCCTTGGACGCCACGCAGAAGGTCCCCTCGCGGCGCGGGCGGCGGGCGAGACTCGGGGGCGGCAAAGAGGGGGGTGATGGCTGGGGGGTGGGTGGGTGGACATCCTGGCGTGGGCCATGATGTTTCCCCGGATTTCAGGGCGCCTCTTCTTATTTCATTGCGTCCCTGGCCCCCCCGCTGGGCCGCGCACATGCCGCCGGTCCTGATTTGCACCCCCCCCTCTTGGACACCCCCCTCTTGGCCGCTCCCGAGAGGAGTTCGAGGAGGAGCGTCAGAGAGGGAGGAGCAGGGTCAAGAGTTACGCCGGAGCTTTTTCATCGATGTCGGCTTCCAGCGGACGCGTTGCAGGCCTGGGACCGTCTTGCCTTCAGTCGAGGTGTTCGGCACGACCGCCAAGGTCGAAGACGTTAGACTGGGGGCGGACTGCAGGCGAAGTGAGCAGGGCGTAGAGTTAAGTCGGGCCTGTCCCTCTAGAGGAGAAACAGATGAAGTATTTTCGAGTATTTGTTGAATATTTGTCTGAGTATTTTTACTTTTTCGTCCAAGACCCGCCTGCAGGGGGACATGCCCGACCTAAACGTTGAGAAGAGGCAAAGAGGAAGTCGGTGTGCCGTTGATCAACCAACCGCGCTTCCTCGGCACGCTGACGTCTTCTCTGAATGGCTCTTTCGCGGCTGATCTGCACACCTGCGCGCTGCACGGGAGTACCGCGCTGCCCATTTCCAAGTACTACCTGGTGAGTGCTCGTGCCAGGCGTTGTTGTGCAGTTTGATTCAAAGGGAGGGCTGCCAGAAAGAGGTGCGTATAGAGGCTGCGCCGTTGGAGGCTGAGGCCTGGCCAGGCAAAATCTAGTGTCAGGTGGTTGGTTGTCGTGTGTGATCGTGGGCGGAGAAGTCCACTGCAAATCCTGACTTTTCGTTTGCCCTCACCAGCCTATCCAGGAACGATGCCCAGGGACATCAATTGTGAAGTCAGACCTCGGGGAGTCTCTTAGAGCCATCTCGGGGCCATTTCGGACCCTGTTTTGGCTCTCGTGGGGTCCTCTTGGGACCCCCTTGGGGCTCTTGTGGGCGCCTCTTGCTGGACTTTGCGGTCCTATCGGGGCCATCTTGAAGGTCATCGATCAGTTTTTTTTTGGTTTGAATTCTTCACGCGTATCCCCACCAGCTAGGCCCTCGCGCGCCCCGCTCGGACCCTGACTCGCCGCTGGCGCTTTCGCCTGCGGCTGCCGACTAAACAAGTATCCCCACCAGCCTGGTGGGTGCGCGTCCGCCTAGGCTGGTGGGGTGCGCGTCCGCCTGCATTCCCCGCTTCGTGGAACGGGACCTCGACACCCGCCTCTGATGGTGTCTGGCGATCCGGACTCCGATCCGTCGAGCGCCTGCATGTGAGTTGGTTGACGCGCCCGCTACCCACGAGACGGTATGTCCGTTGGTCTTTGGCGCCTGCTTTCGTCGAGCGCCTACACTACGTGTTGGCCGGTGAGTGCGCTAAGTTGTTCGATGGTTTGCTGTGGCGCTGGTGCTTGCCCCCTGGCCCGCTCACCCGCTGCGCACTCGCGCCGTGGGCAGGCTGCAAGAGTCGTACTGCCCTCCCATTCGCTGCTGGCGCGGCGCCGCCGTTATTCGCAGTGGCATGCTCGTGGAGTCGCTCAACCTGAATTCCCCCCCGCCATTTTGGCGATGCACACCGGCTGGCGGCTCCCTCCCCAGGCGAAGGCGCATTTTTTCTGAGCGGCAGCGAGGCCAGTCTCCTGTTTGTCTCTCTTTCCGCTGTTCTCTCGTTGTCTCTCTTTCTCCATTCCGTTTACGCTTGTTTGTTACGACTTGTTTGTTGCGACTTTCGGACGGCGTTCGGCCTTTCCGATGCGCTCGCGATCAAAAAAGTACCCCCGCCAGCCCCTTCAAAGACCCTGATGTTGAGAGTTGACGGAGAAGGGACGAAGAGACACGTCTACCGACGCAAAGCGAGCAACCAAGGTGAACAGAGAGATCTCTGGGAGCAACGGGGTGGCTTTGGAAAGCCTTTCGGTGCGCTCTCGGGGCCCTCTTTGGGCCCTCTCGGAACTCTCTTGGGGCTCTCTTGGGGGCCTCTTGGGAGCCCTGGGGGCCTCTTGGGGCTGTCGTGGGGGGCGTCGGTGAAAAGAGGGGGGGTCCTAACGTTTGGCCCCCCCCCCCCCCCCCCCCCCCCCCCCCCCCTTTTGGGCTGTCAAAACAGTATCTTGGGATGCTGTTGGCTCCCTCATGGGGCGCTCTTGGATGGTCTTGAGGCCGTCTTTGGGGCCCCATTGAACCCCTCTTGGAGCTCTCTTGGGCCATCTTGGGGCCACCTTGCGGCCTCAGAAGCGCATCGGAAGCAAACAGGCGAGAAAGCACAACTCATTGATTTTACGTTTTTTTCCCCACATGTTTCGTGGGGTTCTGGTTTTCTTCCCTGCCGCGGCGCACCCGCGTCTCCTCACCTCCCCCCTCCCCTTCTCCTTCTCGCAGCTCAGCTCAACTCAGCACAGCACAGCACAGCACGGCACAACACATCTCACCGCACAGCAGCACAGCACAGCACAGCACAACGCCACAGGGGGTGCGCTGGGGGCGGGGGCCCTATGCGTTCTAGGCTCCCAGGGCGTGGCAGGCGTGGCATATCCTGGGCGCCGCAGGGGGTGCGCAGGGGGTGGTCTTTCACCGCGGCCGCTATCCGTGACAGTCGTCCAGGGCACAGCAGGCATGGCATATTCTCGACAGCGTAGGGGGTGCGCAGGGGGTGGTCTCTCACCGCGGCCGCTATCCGTGACGGTCGTCCAGGGCACAGCAGGCATGGCATATTCTCGACACGTAGGGGGTGCGCAGGGGGTGGTCTCTCACCGCGGCCGCTATCCGTGACGGTCGTCCAGGCACAGCAGGCATGGCATATTCTCGACACCATAGGGGGTGCGCAGGGGGTGGTCTCTCACCGCGGCCGCTATCCGTGACGGTCGTCCGGCACAGCAGGCATGGCGTATTCTCGACACCATAGGGTGCGCAGGGGGTGGTCTCTCACCGCGGCGCTATCCGTGACAGTCGTCCAGGGCACAGCAGGCATGGCATATTCTCGACACCATAGGGGTGCGCAGGGGGTGGTCTCTCACCGCGGCCGCTATCCGTGACGGTCGTCCAGGGCACAGCAGGCATGGCATATTCTCGACACCATAGGGGGTGCGCAGGGGGTGGTCTCTCACCGCGGCCGCTATCCGTGACGGTCGTCCAGGGCACAGCAGGCATGGCATATTCTCGACACCATAGGGGGTGCGCAGGGGGTGGTCTCTCACCGCGGCCGCTATCCGTGACGGTCGTCCAGGGCACAGCAGGCATGGCATATTCTCGACACCATAGGGGGTGCGCAGGGGGTGGTCTCTCACCGCGGCCGCTATCCGTGACGGTCGTCCAGGGCACAGCAGGCATGGCATATTCTCGACAGCATAGGGGGTGCGCAGGGGGTGGTCTCTCACCGCGGCCGCTATCCGTGACGGTCGACCAGGGCACAGCAGGCATGGCATATTTTCGACACCATAGGGGGTGCGCAAGGGGTGGTCTCTCACCGCGGCCGCTATCCGTGACGGTCGTCCAGGGCACAGCATGCATGGCATATTCTCGACACCATAGGGGGTGCGCAGGGGGTGGTCTCTCACCGCGGCCGCTATCCGTGACGGTCGTCCAGGGCACAGCGGTATCGGCGGGACAGCGGCCACCAACATCATTCTCACATGCTTCATTTCAGCTCTCATCACTTCATCCATAATAGAAGGTATGTGGGGTTCATCGGTAGCGTAATTTTTTTTGTAAGAAAAAAGAATTTTGGATTCTCCGGGAGGTCCTGAGGGGTATCCGAGGGCACCTGGACCCGTCTTGTGGCCCTCTGGGGGCCTCTTGAAGGCATGCCGGAATCTGTCTTGAAGCATCGTCGGCTGTCTTGGGCCATTTTGGAGCCATCTTGGGTTCTCTGAGGCCCTCTTGGTGCCATCTTGGGCCATCTTGGGCGCTCTAACCCCTCGCGGGCCCCCCCGTCCAGGCCCAGGGGAGGGGGTGGGGGGAGGGGTCAAGACAACCACCCGCCCGCAAGCCGATTAGCTCACTCCCAGCCGCCCTCCCTATACAAAAGTAACACCAGAGCCTGAGCATGTTCAGCGGTCGTCTCTTGATGGAACCAGAGCAGACCCCATGTGCGCGACGTTTGGGCGAGGTGCGCCACGCGTGCCAAGGGCGCCACGCGCGCCAGGCACCCCTGGGGCCCGATTGTGCCTGGCACGCCTGGTGCGCGCCACGTGCTCCGAGTGCACCAGGTGTGCCGCACACTCCAGCCGCGCCGGGTGCGCAGTGTTCGGGGCACGTGCAGAGTGCGTCAGGTGCGCCTACGCACGTGACAGCACACATCGGGAAACATGTCGGCCCCCGCCATCCTTGTCGAAAACCGATGCCCATCATTGTGTCAGCTGGGCCTGCGCACAGCAGGCCACGCGCTACCACACCCGCCGTCTCTGTCAAAAACCACTTGACAGTGATCGCGGGATGGCCGCGCATGATCCAGATTTAGCCGCCAGGTGCACGTTGTATTGTTTTGTTGTCAGGGATGGTAGCCGTGCGCGCAGCAGGGAATATGCTGACACCCCCGCCGTCCTTGTCAAAAACAATACGAAATGCTCGCGGGCCTCACGAACATGACTCAAGACTTTGCCCCGAAGTGTACTTTTGCATTCGTTTTTGACAGGCATGGTGGGGGGGCGCATCGGGTTGGCCGTGCATGTTCCAAATGTGGAGGTAGAGTTCGGTTTGTATTGTTCTTTGTTAGGGATGGTGAGGGGCGGGTGGGCATGGTGTCGGCATAGTGCCTGGTTGGCCCCCGGTCGCCTGGGGGAGGGGGTGTATATTAATTAGGAACAGTGATAAGCCCCCCCGAAGGGGAAGAGGGGTTCTTCTGGAAGAGGAACGGAAGATCTCGTGAGACCACCAGGGCCCAGAGGTCCGGTGGGATTACAGTCCGCCAGTTGGATGCCCACAGCCACAACTGCCTCTTGGGGCGTTCTCGGGGCCGTCCTCGGGACCTCACTGGTCCCCTCTTTGGGGCACTCTTCGCCTGTCATGGGCCGCTCCGGGGGCCCTCTTGCCCCTTCTCGGCCGTCTCGGGGGCGGTGTGGGGCCTCTTGAAGACCGACAAGGGGGGCATGCAGACATCGGGCAAGAGGGCCGTCTGTTTTTATGGCCTCGGGCGTGCTCGTGGCCTCCCGCGGGGCCCTCGTGGATCCCAGCGCCGAGCCAGTGGATGCTGCTGCTCGGCTCCGTGATAGACGCCCCTGCCCACCAGAGGGACTGAAGGAAGCGCGGGGCGCGCCTCAGCGGACCGTCACGGAAAACATCTTAGCATAACGGCCAGTATGGACGCTTCCAGGGAGTCTCGGTGTTCGGAGCCTCAGTGCCAGTCTCGGTCCGGTTCTCGTTGTGGCCGTGGGTGAAGGGCTATTTTGTGGTCGTCTTGTTAATCAATCTTGGGTCTGCGCCGCTGCTTGTCACCTTGCTTGTTACCTTGTTTGTTTCGGAACAGTGCAGTTCTTTCTATACCGTGAGTTTTTCTTCGCGGGCGAGTTGAGGAGTTTGTGAATTCACTCCCCCCTCTCAACCTCATCTCCCTCCTCGTTGTCCTCCCTTCTAGCTGTCCTTCTTCCCCCTTCCCCTGCTTCTCGCCCTCCCCCTCCCTATCCTCGTCCTCGTCCTCCCCTTCCCCTGCACTCCTCCTTTGCCCTCCCTCCCTCGTCCTCTCGCGAAGGAGCTCGCGGACCTGTTCCGGAAGTGCTCCGGCCTGTCGCCGGCCCTCCGGAGCGCGACGCTCATAGGGATGCGCGAGAAGTGGGAATCAGAGGCTGCCGGGAGGGTAGCCCAGATGGTCTGGTACCGGAGATTTTCGGTAGCGATTTCGACGCCTCCCGAATTTCGGTAGCGACCGGATCTTCGTTTGAGGGCGTGGAAATAGCGGGTTTCAGAACGCTCTGATACCAGTATTGGGCGCTACATTTCGGTATTTCGGTAGCGACCGATCTCTGCGGAGCGCTACCGGAAATTTTCGGTAGCGGACCATCAGGGAGAGGATGCGCCGGAGAGGGAAAGGCAGGCCAGCCACAACTGGGGGAGCTGTGGTCCTTACCCCCCTGGGGGACCCATCGGTTTCGACACCCCTCTCGAGAGATCGTCGAGGCGGTGGGTTCCCCCAGGGGGGTAAGGACCACAGCTCCCCCAGAGGTGGCTGGTCGGAAAGGGTTGTGGAAGTCGATTAGTTGAGAGGAAGCGTGCTGCCAAATAATTTCCAGATGTCTAAAAGAGGTTCCAAACATGCTTTAAATCTGGTACAAACATGGTTGTAGAGGGAAAGTCGGGGGTGGATAGACCTCCTACCCTGACACGTCGATTAGCGAACTGGCCGTTTTCGATTCGCGAGAGGGCGTCGCGGCCGTCTTTCTGTTGCGGTTCCGGGTCCGTCGGTTTCGGTCCCAGGCCGTTTTCACTGAGGGGAGGTTTATTAAAGGGAGGTTTGTCCAACGCTGAGAAAGGGTTGTGGAAGTCGATCAATGGAGAGGAAGCGTGCTGCCGGACAATGTCCAGATGTCTAAAAGAGGTTCCAGACATGTTGTAAATCAAACATGGTTGAAACATGTTCAAAACATGTTTTACACATTTTAGACACATCTTTAATTCAATGATAGTATTGTTAGAGTGGAGGAGGGAGGGCGTCGGCACGTCGGTCTGTCCCGCAGATCTGGGCCGCGGCCGCGAAGCTGTTGCAGGGCCGAGGAGGGCAGGTGGAGCGGGAGGCGGAGGATGTTAGGGAATCGGGTGCGTAAGGTGCAGGGTGAGGGGGGGGTGAAGGAGGCGGAGGAGGAGGAGGAGGAGGAGGAGGAGGAGGAGGAGGAGGAGGAGGAGGAGGAGGAGGAGGACCTGCAGGACTTGGGGAGCTCGACGACAGGCACGGTTCTGAAGGGACCTGGGTCCTGACCAAAGAGCGTCCCCACATGTCCTGAGAGATCCGCAATGCAAAGCCCAGCCGTCCCAGCGGCCTTCGACAGCAGCCGTAGGCCTACGACAGAAAGCAATCAGGGCTGGTACGTTTTTGTGCTGCCCTGGGCCCTGACGCCAGGACGTCCTCAGAGGTCCCCAGAGGTCTCCAGAGGCCTTCAAAGCCCAGAGAGGACCAATGTTCAGGCGATCGCAAACATGGATCAAGGGGGCGTGGATTGGCGACGGGTCCCGTTTCCATGGGAAATCGCGGATTTCCGCCGCCGAACGAGGCGGCACCGGCCGCATTTTGGGGAGGCCACCTCCTCCGATCCATGGATTTGGCGACCGCGCGCCAAATCCGTGGATCGCTAACCCATGTTTGCGCGCCCCCGAAATATTGCCTCCCTCGGGATCGAGGCGACGGCCCCTGGAGCCCGAAGGAGGCAACATCTGGTCACCGTGGTGGGTGCGTAGTATGAAGTCAGGGGACTTTTTTTGGGGGGTGGGTGGGAGTAGTTCAAATTTTTCGCCCCAGATCTGCCTGCTGTAGGGGTACAATGCTGTAGGGGTACAGGCCCGACCTAAGCGCAGAACTTTCATCCGCGCGCGCGCGAGCGCGTTGTCCCGGCCTGCGGGCCCGCCTGGAGCCGGCCCACATCCGGGGCCCTCGCTCGGAGGTGCTTGTCTCCGTGCCCTCTTTGCATTGACGTGTTGCGCACGACCTCGTGCTTCCTTCTAGCTGCGCGTATTCGCAGTCTCCTCTGCCTCGGCGCGGCCCGCCCCAGCCTGCACGGCGCTCGACTCGTCTTCGCGCGCCAGCGCGCCAAAAGCATTCGCAGTCTCCAGGCGCTCCGGCCCCACCCCGCTCAGTCCTCGCGCATGCACTCTTGCGGGCGGCGTCAGCGTCAGCGTCGCACTCACATGTGATTTGAATGTGCTAGTTGCCAGGCTTTCCGATCTCTATTTTGTCGATGGGATGCCACGATGGGAGCGCGTGGAAGCGACGCTGGGGAGCCATGCGCCCAGAAGCCGCGATCGAGGGGCCATCGCGTTCGTGTTCGCAGCTTCCGGGAGACGGGCTGTGCGCACCGGAGGATGCTCCGCACACCAGCGCCAGTCGGCGTCGATACCTGTGCGCCGACCTCGGTTTCGGCAGGGAGACAACGGGTGTTGGAGGATTGGGGCCCCAGAGGTTTTTCGTCTGAGGAGGACGAGGAGGAGGAGGAGGAGGAGGAGGAGGAGGAGGAGGAGGAGGAGGGGAGGAGGAGGAGGAGGGAGGAGGAGGAGGAGGAGGAGGAGGAGGAGAAGGAGGAGGAGGAGGAGGAGGAGGAGGAGAGGACAGGAGGAGGAGGAGGAGGAGGGAGTTGGAGAGGAGGGAGGGAGTTGGAGGAGGAGGAGGAGGGAGGAGGAGGAGGAGGAGGAGGAGGAGGAGGATTGGGGCCCTGGAGGTTTTTCGTGGAGTTCGTGCTGCGTTTTCTGATCTGTCTCACGCCTTTCACCACCCACGGCCTGCCCAGGAGGCAGTTCTCCTCCTGGCTGCCAGCCGGGGGCCGCTCCCGGCAGGGAGTGGCCGTCAGGCCGCTCGCCCTTCGCCCTTCCCGGCTGAATGGTGCCCCAGGCCTGGAGGGTTTCTCCGAGGGGCTTAGGCGACCCGTCCTCCTCCTCCTCCTCCTCCTCCTCCTCCTCCGCCCTCCTCCTTTTCCTCCTCCTCCCTCCGCCCCCCTCCTCCTTCCTTCCTTCCTCCCTCCTCCTCCTCCTCCTCCTCCTCCTCCTCCTCCTCCTCCTCCTCCTCCTCCTCCTCCTCCTCCTCCTCCTCCTCCTCCTCCTCCTCCTCCTCCTCCTCGTCCTCCTCCTCCTCCTCCTCCTCCTCCTCGTCCTCGTCCTCCTCCTCCTCCTCTCCTCTTCCTCCCCTCCTCCTCCTCCTCCTCCTCCTCGTCCTCCTCCTCCTCCTCCTCCTCCTCCTCGTCCTCCTCTCCTCCTCCATCTCCTCCTCCATCTCTTCTCCCCCTGCCCCTCCTCCTCCTCCTCCTCCTCCTCCTCCTCCTCCTCCTCCTTCTCGGGTCGCCTCGGGACTCCAGATGAAGCGCTGGCCCCTCCTCCTCCTCCTCCTCCTCCTCCTCCTCCTCCTCCTCCTTCTCGGGTCGCCTCGGGACTCCAGATGAAGCGCTGGTCCCGGGAAGCACCCAGGGGTCCAGGACCCGTTTCCATCAGCACCTCCTTCCGCGGACCATTTACAGTCCGCCCGCATAGTGAGGATGGGCATCCTTCCCAAGGGTACCCTTGCATCCTGGCCTCCTCTGTACATCCTCGGCCGCCTCCGTTGGCCGCGCTGCGCTCGAAACAGGCTTCGAGATGGGCGTCCAAGGCCCCTGCATCCTTATCGCGCATGGAACAGAGTACGGCGGCGGCATTGGATAAGGAACGTCTTCCTGGGGCCCAGACCCTCGCGCATTCCTTATTGTTTCAAGGCGAGGTGGGTGTCCCACGTTTGACCGCCCGTCGGTCGCGAGACCCTGGTCGCCTCATCGAAGGCGCCCTTATCTAAACCTCCGCCGTATGGTGTGGGGCGTCAGTCAAGGGAGGAAAAAGCACCTGGACCGGACAACTGGCGTTTACTAAACGGCCCTGGGTGTTTACTATACGGCCCTGCCCTGTCCGATCCTTTCTCTGGGCGCGTTTACGAAGCGACCTCGCGTGCCGGGGTGGTTCTTCTGGGGGTGAATTTTTGGACCCCTAGTCGGTGCTGATACCCCTTGCCTCGGTGATGGCGGCTTCGTGCGGAGTCGTCGGGTGCAGCCGTGCGTTTCCGCGAGGCGCGCCTCTCGAATCTTATGCAATGGGCACGGGCTGCGGCCCTCGAAGTGAGACGAAAACCTCCGCCGTGTGGTGTGGGGCGTCAGTGCTGATGCCCCTGGCGTCGGTGCTGGCGTCCTCGTTTATGATGCTCCAACCTGGTTTAGCCTTGGCCACCAGAAAGAAGTTCGAGCACCCAACAAGTGCCGAAGCTCGAGGGTTTGCGCGCGTCGGGCCCTGGGGGGCACTCGCTGCGACGCCCTTTCCACGCTCTCTCGGCACTTCTCCGGGCGCTCGACGAATCGTTCCTGGGAGGTGGTCCCTGAGCACGAGGGGAGCAGCACGGCCCGGGCGTCGGTGCCGGCGGCCTCGTGCGGAGTCGTCGGGTGCGGCCGTGCGCTCCGGCGCGCGCCGGGGCGGCCTCTGCGCGCGCCGGCGCCGCGGGCCCGTGCCTTTGGCGGTGGCGCCGTCGTGCCGGCGCCGCGCGCTCCGCGGGCGGTGCGCGGAGCCGAGCGCTCCCCGGGGAGCGGCAGCCTGGGCGCGGCGGGAGGCCAGGTGATCTCCAGAGGCATTCGTATTCTCTGGACCCTCTCTTTTTCCCAACCATCCTGTGGTGTTGGGTCCTCGTTTTGAAGAGACGGCGCCCCGCGTTCCTCACCTCCTCCTCCCCCCCCCCTCCCTCCTCCCATCATCATCATCATCATCATCATCATCATCATCATCATCATCATCATCATCATCATCATCATCATCATCATCATCATCATCATCATCATCATCATCATCATCATCATCATCAGCATCATCATCATCATCATCATCATCATGAATCATCATCATCATCATCATCATCATCATCATCATCATCATCATCATCATCATCTCATCATCATCATCATCATCATCATCATCATCAGATTTCGCACCCCTCACCGTTTCACACCCCTCACACGTTTCGTGGCCCCATAGGGAGCTCCACCGAAGGCCCCAGTGGCAGGGTCCGCAATGCCTCCCCACCACCCATTTCGGCACACCCCCTCACACGTTTCGTGGCCCCATAGGGAGCTCCACCGAAGG